CAAACATGCTGAACACATTGGACAGGTCCTCCATACATGTCGGGTTGACCATATCGAACATATTGGACAGGTCCTTCATACATGTTAGGTTGACCATATCAAACATGCTGAACATATTAGACAGGTCCTCCATACGTGTCGGGTCGACCATATCAAACATACTAAACATATTGGACAGGTCCTCCATACATGTCAGGTTGACCATATCAAACATACTAAACATATTGGACAGGTCCTCCATACATGTCAGGTCGACCATATCAAACATACTAAACATATTGGACAGGTCCTCCATACATGTCAGGTCGACCATATCAAACATACTAAACATATTGGACAGGTCCTCCATACGTGTCGGGTCGACCATATCGAACATATTGGACAGGTCCTCCATACGTGTCGGGTTGACCATATCGAACATATTGGACAGGTCCTCCATACATGTCAGGTTGACCATATCAAACATACTAAACATATTGGACAGGTCCTCCATACGTGTCGGGTCGACCATATCGACCATACTGAACATATTGGACAGGTCCTCCATACGTGTCAGGTTGACCATATCAAAAAGGAAAGCAAGTTTTTTTTCATCTAATTGTGATGAAATCTTCTAAACGTTATATTTTATTTGAAAATTAATGGTTTTTAAAATCAGAAAAATGTAAAATATCAATAGTTATGGTGTACATAGAGCTTTATGCAAGTAGTGTGATCTGTAGATTGGTTATTTGTATATGGCTGGACAAGAAAGTTTTGTTAAAAATTATCATCAGCCCTGTTATGATGCAGTATCACACAAACAACTGATATACAGAAAAATGTGTATTTTTATTTTATAGTTTTTTAAGTTTATTTTGGAAATGAATTCATAAATAAGCATGTATTATTTTATAGAATATGAAAAAAAAATTTTCAAGTTCTCGCTCCCAGAATGGTAGACCACCTCAAAGAAAAGTGTCTCATTTGAGATCAGTATTTGTCGAAGATGATCAAGAAACTTCTAAGCCAAAGGTAAGATCTTGATTTATGGGAAAGTTTCAGTACGGGACTTCCTTTTAAACAGAGTATCTTTTTTAGAGGAAGATAAGCAAATGCTAGAATCGGGCAAATATTTTTACTAGATCTATGTATGTGCTAAGAAATACATCAACATCCAAAAATGATATAAACTTCATAGAATATGGGTAATTTATACTGTATTTTTCGGTGTATAAAACACACTTTTTTTACCCCAAAATTTAATGTCAAAATCTGCTTGCGTCCTATACACCGAAGGTATGAATAATATATACGATATACACAAGCCATGTGTAAATATATTTAAATAGGCATGCATAGTTTAGTTCAATTGAATGTGTTATTTATAACAATAGTAGTTTTTTTTTCTTTTAAAAACATAACTATTTAAATTCTCCCTAAATAATAATAATAAAAAAAAAATTACAGTGAAAGC